GGCCAGACGGGGGGAAACTAAAGCCAAACTCAAGTTTTCGAGCATGAAAATGGCTGCGGTTTTTTTGTCAGTATGAAGTTTATTGTTATTTGTTCATCTAAACTAAAATACTGTGAGCATTGGCTGGTGAAAAAAATATATAGCCAATAGATTTTCCCGCCTAACCCAGTAGTGGCCTTCAAATTAAAAGTCGGAAAATTACAACAATTCCACAGTAAGCATTTCATTCCCATCTCAGAATCAGCATTTACAGATACACTTAACCATTTACAGCTATATTAGGTTTTATTTTGGAAAGGAACAGTATGAAATACAACACTAAATTTCACTATTTGTTATCAAACACACAAAGTAGCACACAGGTAATTAGCTTAGCACACTTAGCTTAACACGGTTTTCCATATGAACTCGTAATCTTTCATGTTTCTTAATGCATTCAGAGAGGCGTTTTAAGTCTGTCTGTCCAGACTGTGTCCACACAAAATCACTTTTAAAAAGGATAAAGGGAAAACAAAAAAGTGTATTGGCTGGAACAACTCCTGCTAAAAGTCTGGTTGAAGAACTTAGCTTTTTATTTGGTTCGCTTTGTTAAATTTATTTGGGGCTTGTCAGGTCTCAGCTCCTTTAAATGGATTGTTTTCCACCATTACCTTTCGAAAATGCCAAAGCCATTAATTTTGGTGATGCTGATTGGCCAAATATTTATTAATTTTCCCTAGCAACTACATACAATTGGCCATTTCGCTGCACTTCCGGGGAGCTTTGAATGAGCCAAAGAAGAGAAATTATACGTTCTGTGGGTGGAAAGTGTTGTTTTAATAATTCATATTACATGTAGCCACATACTATTAAATAAAGCTTAACTCTGTTTCCAGCAGATGAAGACGTTCCAGGTGAGTCTGCTCCTAAAGGATCACTTACAGATTCTCTTTCTTTTCCACGCAGCCCCGTCCCAGCCGTCAGCAGAAATAGCCACGCCCCTCCGACCACTGTCGCCCCGGTGACCACCAGTAACGAGCTCAAGCCCTGCCCCTCCCCCTTCAAGATGAAAGCTGCCGCGGGACTTCAGGAAAGGTGAGATAAATAGATAAATAAATGAATGCATAAATAAAAAAATAAAAAAATAAAATAAATGAGTACATAAATAAATGAATGCATAAATGCATAAATGCATAAATGCATAGATAAATAGATAAATAAATAAATAAATAAATAAATAAATAAATAAATAAATAAATAAATACAATGGCAGACAGGGGAGAAGTTTGTCCAAACCCTACATGCTGTCAGGTTTCATAAAACGCTTTAAACTTGTTGGTAAAGTCTAAGTTTTCTGAGCCCTGTCTTGGAAAATTATAAAATAAGTCAATAAATATATTTTTGATTTGGGTTTGTATCCAGAACTCTGTAGATTCTTATATCCCACCATCCCTCCATATTTTTCCTTTTTCTTTGGATCCAAGCTTGTTTTGATGGTTCTCCAAATTCAGTTCCTAAGTATAACAACTCTGAGGTTCGTTCATGGAGAGATGAAGTTTGAATTGTTCTAAAAATCATAGATTAAATGAGCTATCAGAAGCTGTGAAAGCAATCTCCACCTACACTTTATTTCTACATAAAATTGGAGAAGGCTTATTTCTATGTATTTGGCACAACTGTGGCTTTCTTGATATTTATCCTCGTTGATAAATTGATCTTCTTGCTGTAACGATGTCAGATTCCCGTCAGTCACATTGCTGGGAAGTCTTCATAGGCTGTAGGATTTCTTCATACTCAGGTAGAAAGACTGAACCCAGAACATGATCATTAATTTATTATCATTAAATAATTTCCCTCTGGGAATATTAAAGTATTTCTGATTCTAGTTAAAGCAGGAAATGGAGAGGACATCAGGAATTAGACTTGGAGCCCAAAATTTGCACTATTAGGACAAAGCCATGGTGGTTTAACATTCAGATAAATTGGTAATTAAGGTGAAAAACGCAGGGTTAAAGGTACATAAACCAGGTGACTTCATGTTTACTGTAGCTAATCCGTCCTCAGATGTAATGATGTGATATTTAGGGACCAGAGGAGCAGAAATCAGATGTGTTTATGAAGGGAAGAGTCCTCTGCGATTGTTAAAGGTGCTGAGCTGCCTACGTGCTGCCGGACTCTTCACATCTGGAGAATTTGGCTCCTCAGAGTGTTTTTCTGTTTACAAAGAGAAAAGTGGAGCTGTTCCAGGAGGAGTTGATGTATATAAACCACTTAATATCCCCCCCATATCCTGACAAACTGAATGTTGGGAGGTGTTTTCTTTGTGAGCTCAAAATTTTGAATCTCTGCTCATTAAAATCTCAAATAGTCTTTTAATCTAATGTTTTAAACGATCGTTTTTCTACAGATGAATAACGTTGTTTTCATTACTGATTTAACTTGATATAATCTTGCTGTTAATGTGCTCCAAATTCATGTTAAAGGGATTTTTTTAGATCTCATATCAACACAAGAGGAGCGATTTTTGTTTTATTTACTTCTTCCTGAATCTATTTTTCTGATAAATACTGTCCAGACTTTCCACAACATTGTTTGGCATTAATTACAGCTTTTATTGTGGTAAACTGACATGGACAGAGGGCAGATAGACCTGAGTCCTATGTGTTGTTGCTATGAATTG